GAGCCTGCTTCTCCCTCTCCCCACCCTCAGCTCGTGCTCTCTGTCGCGCTCTCTCTTTCTCAAATAAATAAATAAAATATTAAAAGAATTCTCTTGAAATAAAATAATAGTATATTATTATTACTCAAAAAATAAGAATTTTGTATAGGCTTAAGTATTTGTTACAACTTATTTTAGATATTAGATATTATTTCAGACACATTGTATTTTAGATAAGCCTGTCAAGTCAAGAATTACAGCTCTTTAGGCAACTATTATATTCTAGACTAAGCAGTACATTCATTTACATATTCTTTTGTGAAACACACTGTCCTAGGATATATTACCCCAACATTGTGAAAGGTATAACAGATTGCCTGCCAGGAAACAACTGTCCCATGGTAATCAACAGTTTGGAAACCTAATCAGTTTGTCTTTTTTTTTTAATCTGATTCCCATTTTATTTTATTTTTTCATTAAGCTTTTTAATTTTAACTCCAGTATAGTTAACATACAGTGTTCTATTAGTTTCAGATCTACAAAATAGTGATTCCACAATTCTGTACATTACTCAGTGCTTGTCATAATGTGTATATAGTTTATCTTTCTTTCTTAAGTTCATAACATTTGTCATGCTTGGGAGTAAAAGTATTATATTTTCTATTTTTAGTAATATAGTTGGCTATTCAGATTGAATTTCCTGCTGAAAACAATTAGAGTACTGAACAAAGTATTTGATAGCATGGACGAACTGACAAGATAGAAATTATCAGGTCAAAACCCAGGTGGATCAGTTTCTTGTCTCACCTCCCCATACTGTTGGCTTGTTGCCAAAACTCAGTTATTTGGTCATCTGGATTTATCTGTTTGCTTCCTTGTGAACATTTAATTTATTCCTCTATCCCCCATATTTCCTACAAATGGTTCCTAACAGCATTAATGTAATTGTTTATTTGTGTCATCGTTTCAAAATAATGCCAGTATTGCTACAATTAGATTATAGACTACTGAATAAAATTTAAGATTTCTTTGCCATTCTGTTCTTAGAATATATTTCACTAAGGATGATAGTCAATTCTGTGCTCTAATGCAACTTGAAATAAGGTTTTTTTCTATATGTTTATATCACCAACTTTACATGAAGTGAGGTTCTTTAGTTTCAGTTATCAGTTTCCAGGGACTGCTTAAGTCAAAACTATATAACAAGGTATATTCAGGGAAATCTTGCTTCTCTATCCCCTTCACCCTATTGCACTCTTCCTCTTATTGGTGACTGTTTGTATTAGCTTTTGGTTCTATTTTAACAGTATTTTCCTTTGTTTTGTTTTGTAAACATACAAAAATATGTATTATATGTTCTTAATCCCTTTTCTTATATTAAGGGCTGCATACTAAATATACTGTTATACATCCTTTAAAAAAAAGATTTTATTTATTTGAGAGAGAGAGCACAAGCTGCAGAGAGGGAGGGAGGGAGGGAGACAGGCAAGCAGACCCCATGCTGAGCAAAAGGAGTCTAATGCGGGCTCAGTGTGGGGTTCAGTCCCAGGACCTTGAGATCACAACCCGAGCCAAAACCAGGAGTCAGACGCTTAACTGACTGAAGCCACCCAGGCGCGCCTAGTGTTTACACATCCTGTTCTTTTTTTTCCTGAATATATCTTGAAGATCTTTCTACATCAGCATACAGGGACCTTTAACGTTCATTTCACAAGGCATAGGACTCCATTTGTGAGTGTACCATGGTTTATTCAACTAGTCCCTATTGATGGATGTCTGGGTTGTTTCCAGACTTTTGTTATTACAAATAATGCCAGTGAATACCCTTGCACCTAAGTAATTTCAATTTTGTCCAATGAATCTTTGAAAAAGATTAATAAAAATAGGATTGCTGAGTAAAAGGGACTTTTCTGGATGTTACCAGATTCGTCTGTGTAGTGCATACCATTTTGCAGTCCCAGCAGCAGTGTATCAGGGTGTCAGTTCTGTATCACCTCACCATACACTTTGTTGTGGAACTTTTGGATTTATGTCAATGTCATAGGTAAGAGTATCTCCGTGTAATTTTAAATACATCTCTCTTATTACGAAGAACGTTGTATATCTTTATGTATGTTTTTAGGGACCATTTAGATTCTTTCTTCTTTGACTGTCTTAGGTTTTGCACATTTTTTCTATTCTGTTGTGTGTCTTTCCCTCCCCCTAAATAGGATTTTTTTTTTTTAATTTAGAGATATTAGCCCTTTGCCTTAGAGTTCCAGTTTCCCTTTATTTCCAGTTTACCTTCGACTTTATTGTGGTAGAGTTTGTTTCTTTTCTTCCTTTTTTTTTTTTGACATTTGAAAATTTTTTATGTAACTGGAATTTTCTTTTTATTGCTTCTAGATTTTAAGTCTCAGCTGGGAAGGTTTTTCTCACTTCCAGATTATAAAGGAATTTTTATATTTTCTTCTGGTACTTGGGTAATTTTGTTTTATATTTAGATCTCTGGTCTGTTTGGTGTTTATTCTAATGTAGTGTGAAATATGGATCCAATTTTATCTTTTTCCAAATATCTATCCAATTGTCCCCATAGTTTTTTCTACTGGTTGGAGATTTGAATCTATTTTTGGACTTTCCATTCCATTCGTCTAATCATGTATCCGTATCACAGTACATGATTATTATAATATTTTAATTCTAGGTACCCAGATATTTTGTACTTTACTTTTTTTATTAGAACCAGGTAATAACAATTACAAGTCAAGTCATTGTGTCCCCCACTACCGACCCCAAATGGAGTACATGTATGATATATATAGATATATGCTGCAGTGCGTGAAGTAGGTGCCCTTTGGTCCTGTGTAAGTGAAAAGAGTGCTGAACCAGGAGTCAGGGAATAGGCTCAACTTTTAGTACCACCACTAAGCAAGTCACTACTCTCTCGGCCTCTTTTCTCAGCAGTGAGCAAATAAAAAGAATTGAACTAGATGGTCTTCAGGGTTGTTTCTGAATCTAGTTAATGCTGATCAGGTAAGAGCACCACTGCTGTGTGGTAATTCGGTCTACTTTTTATTCCCCTGTACCTTGTCCTTTTGCCATATTTATGAAGTAAACTTTCTCTAATGCTCTGGATCCTGGTTCTTTCATCTTTTTTGTAGGTTTTTCTTTGTTCTAGCATTTTCTTCTCTCCTGTATTTCTTCTATTAGCTTGCATTTCTTTCTGCTGATTAAGCAAGGATTGCCACTGGGTGGCCCCTCAGCTTCCACTGACCTCAGTGGGGAAAAATTGCATGCAGTAAATGGGAATTATTTTTTCCCCCGGCAGAGAATTAAAACAAAACAAAACCAAAAACTAGCTGCTGACACTGAGTCTGTTCTTCGGTTGTACAATGATCAGAATAAAGAAAGCTGCATGTCGGTTTTGAAGAAATCAGATAAGACTCTAACCAGGTCATGAGCTCCTGATTGATCTGTAAGAGTTGGTACTTCCCTATATTTCCCAGCACCCATCCTTCAAGAGATCAGGGAAGAAGGTGATGAGAAAGAAGAGCAAACATGTGGAAAGAGCCTCTTTAGGTAATCATCTTACATGTAAAATGAGGGAGGGTTATGATGTTTTAAAGCGCATCAGTCTTAAATGTATCTTACTTAAGCTAACTAGAATATTTACAGTTCAGAAGATTAATAGGAAATGCTTGAACTCCTGATTGCTGCTGGGTAAATAAACCTTTAAAGTGCTAAGTTTGTAAAACAACATGAAAGAAACATTTTAATGTGGAAGACAGAGAACCAATGTAATAGGACAATAAACATGCTTCAGGAATAAACATCAGGAAAAGTAAGTTCAAGGAAGTGTTTCTACAGATAAAAAGTTTTAATGGTCAGTAAGGGATGGTTTAAAAGATTTAAAGGGAAACATTGTAGATAAAATTTCAGTGTCCAAAAGCTTGCTCGTTTTTTATTAAAGATGGAGCTTTGTTAGTTTCTTGAACACCAGTGCTACAAATAAATACTACATTTTGTTCTGAAAAACCCCAGAACTATGAGGGGTTCTTCAAGGTCAAACTACCAACAAGACCACCACATTTCATTATGAGTGAGATTTCCCCTGGGAGTTAGGGTAGGGTAAGGAGGAAGATTACGTGCTTGTTGGGCAAAGAAGCGCTTTGGCAGGCACCGGTTGGTACCCCCACAAGCATAGCCAAGGAACGCTTGCCACATGGACTCTGACAAAGATTGGGCCCACCCCTACTCTGGTAACTCAGATTCATCACTTATCAGGTAATGGAGGAAAGGTGAAATTCTGTATATGAACAGTGGTTTAAGAGTTTATAGTGTCAGAAAGTATAAGATTAGTGAAAGTTGAGAACCATCTGTATTTGATACAGTCTGTTTTTCTTGGAAAAATCATTCAAATTTGGAATGAAGCCATAGAGGTATGGTTTAGTGTATGTGGTTTGGTTTTGTTTTCCTTTATAAGATTTCTTTTGTTTGGGTGCTTGAACCATAGAAAGAAGAAATTGTTTAAAGAGGCTAGTTTTAAAAATTGTGCTCTCCCAACAAGATGAGAAAATGTCTACAGTTTATGGTGCATGCTCCTATTTTTTCAGAGTAGATATCCCCAATCCAACACCCCCCCCCATTTGATGTTTTAACAGATTTGCTTTACTGTTTCCAGTGAGAGCTAAAAGGAAATTTTTGTATTCTCAAACATGCATTTTAGTTTCTCATCCCCACAAACTTGGAATATTTGAGGTATTAATTTAAAATTTGGAGTTTTGTTTAAAACTTGGAACATGTATTTAATTTCTCATTCCCCCCCGGCCTCAAACTTTGAAATGGAAAAACAAAATGTTATTTATTCAAGGTAACTTTATACACAGCTTTGCAGGGGGAAAAAAATCTATTAGGTGATATTAAGTGTATGTAGATTGCTTGTTTCCAAAATGGTTAAGTTATTTACATACATATGTAAAATGTACTATACATTAAAGTTAGGTACAACAGCCAGTGAATAGATCACTGTTACATCATTTTTAAAAAATAAGTTCCACTTATGCACGTGGGCTTTGAGCAGATTTCAGGCAGTTCCTGAATAAAAATCAAAACTGGCTACCAGTTGCCATCATCACAGGAAGAAAAACAAAAGAAGGAGTTCCATAAGAAAGATGGAAAATCAGCTAAAAAGCAAGTTATAATATTTATAACAGTTCTTCAGGTGGGGGCGGCAAGTATTCACTGTGATCTTGATCCGAATTAGGAGGAATAGAGAACTCCTGACACTGGATCTCATTGTTGGAATCTGCCTGGTTTTTCATGAAGTCTCCTGGTGGCAGGGGCAAGTTAAGTAAGTCAGGTGGAGGTGGAAATCTTTGTTCGAACTCAGAATTGTGATCTTCACAGACTTGACTGAGACAGTCCAGAGATGGCGGGAGATTGGTGGAATCATTTGGAAGAGGAGATAGAATTGTCACTGTGGGTTTGTCACATTGGTTACTTTCCTGTTCTTCTAAATCAAGAAGTGGGGGAGGTGGTGGAAGCAGATCGGCATCATCTGAAGAAGAAATTGCAGTGCCAATCGTTGATCCACCAGGACTCTCCTCTGATGTACCATTTGCTTGATCTTTTATCTTCTCTGTTTTGGGGTTGTTGGGATCTTCAGTGTGTTCATTTGATTCAAATAACTTAACTTCCAAATCATCTGGTAAGAGTGTGCTTTTGTTTGGTTTCCAGGGCATAAGTGAAACAATTGATGTCCGTTTTGTGGGTACTTCATTTTCTCTAATGTTATCCATATATATGTCGGGGGTTTCACCATCAGCAAATGGAGACCTGCCTGCCCAATTCTGATCATTTAAAACTGGTTTTCTCAAGCATTTCCATAGTACAATTATGATTATAGATACCAACAAAGAAGTCAGAATTATGCCAATTAATATGGCAGCTAAATTAGAATTGGTTTCATGTGAGATATTTTTGCTACTAGTCATTTCTAGGATGAATCCTGGAGTAATCCTAGGTGAACTTTTGACACTTGGTGTTGGTCGTATAGATGGATTATGAACAGTTGGTGATATTGGTTTTCTAGAAGAGGTATGGACAGATGATGGTTGTTGAGTGGAAGTATAGACAAATGGTGGCAGTTGTTTGGTAGAAGTATGGGTAGATGGTGGTAGTTGTCCAACAGAAGTAAACGTGGGTACTGCTGTTTGTTGGGAGGAGGTGTTGGCCGTTGGTATTCGTTGTCTGGTGACGTTATAGGTAAGTGGTTGCCCAGCAGAAGTGTGTGCTGCTGGTTTTTCAGAAGAAGCATAGGCAGCTGGTGTTGTTTGTCTAGCAGCAACTTTGGCAGTTGGTATTGGTTTTGCAGGGGAAACATGGTTGAATTGTGTTGGTTGACTGATAGGATTCTCTGTTGTGTTTTGAGAATTAGCTGAGTTATATGGCCTTGATGATCTAAATAAAGTAGGCTGTGGTTGCTTCTCTGTTGTAATTGCTTCTGTGTCTGAGGAAAATATATCACTGATGTGCCCACAAAACAAAATTAAGATGAAATATTTGGGATCCATTTCAGAATGTTTCCACCCTACCAGAGGTTTTGTAATGAAAGAAAAAAAGACAGGTATTATTTGGTGTCTGGCAAAGTAGGTAGGTACTTATAAGTATTGTTTCTAATTTAGACTTGATACACTGTAGTGTAAATAACTCTTGAATATATTCTAACTTAACCATACAACATTTGGACCTCATAGGCAATAGTCTCTCTCAATTCTTTCATAAGATCTGTACTTGGCCCTGCTGCCCCCCTAGCTGCTGCTGCTGCTTTTTTTTTTTTAAAAGATTTTATTTATTTGACAGAGAGAGACACAACGAGAGAGGGAACACAAGCAGGGGGACTGGGAGAGGGAGAAGCAGGCTTCCTGTGGAGCAGGGAGCCCGATGCAGGGCTGGATCCCAGGACCCTGGGATCATGACCTGAGCCGAAGGCAGATGCTTAACAAATGAGCCACCCAGGCGCCCCAACCACCCCCCCCGCCCAGCTTCTTTACATTACAATCCATTTTACAGTCACACTTGTGAAATACATAGGCTCTTTTTTTTTTTTAAAGATTTTATTTATTTATTTGAGAGAGCGAGAATGAGAGAGAGAGAGAGCACATGAGAGGAGGGAGGGTCAGAGGGAGAAGCAGACTTCCCGCCGAGCAGGGAGCCTGATGTGGGACTCGATCCTGGGACTCCAGGATCATGACCTGAGCCGAAGGCAGTCGCTTAACCAACTGAGCCACCCAGGCGCCCGAAATACATAGGCTCTTGATGCTGGTTCCATGTGCTCTCTATTCTTTTCTTCCTTACTATTAGAAATACACTGATCCTGTTGCTTTGAAGGACACCAGTAATCATCTGTTACCTAATCCAACAGTCTTGACTTTATTCTCTCTTTCTTTTTCTCCCTCTCTTGATCACATTCAATGCTATTGACTATGCCTTCACTACTATTCAAGTAGCTCTTTGTTATAGTCTTCCTTTCATGTTAATCTCACTAGCTTCTGTTTTTCTCTTCTTAAATATGGATACTTGATATTCAGTCCTCACTCTTAGCTACTTTTCTCTGATCCTGATTCTATAAAATTTCAGCTCTCACCTGTATGCCATAACTCCCAAACCTGCACATCCAGCCTAAATCTCCTTAATTCCATTCCATTTACATGACTTCTTGGTGGACATTTCCATGTTATATATCCTACTGTCAGCAAATTTAACATATTTAAAACAGAATTCGTCTTCGTGTCAAAAGTGACTCCTCTCTTTATTTTCATATGGTGCTACCTTTAAGTTTTTTATGCAGAGAGTCTATTGTGTTAGTAATCTCTATAGCATCATCAGTCTAGCACTCTGTCTTTATGTTAGGATCTCTTACTCTTTTTTTTTTTTTTAAGATTTTATTGATTTTGAGCCCTGAGTAGAGGGAGGGGCAGAAGGAGAGAGAGAGAATCTCAAGCAGACTGTGTGCTGAGCACAGAGCCAGATGTGGAGCTCAGTGTGGGGCTTGATCTCCTGACCCTGAAATCACAACCTGAGGTGATATCAGGAATCTGACGCTTAACCAGCTGAGCTGTCCAGGCGCCCCTAGGGTCTCATAGTCTTCAAGGAGTCAGTTCAACTCAGAATCCTAAGTGATCTTTGAATCTGGTTGAGTCAGTTCTGTCCAGTTGGCAAAGTTGTCCAATGCTGCTTTCATTCATTTATTGATTAACACTATCTTTGTGTCAGGCCTGTTAGATTTAAGAGCTACACCCCCCAAAAAAAGTTTCTAGTGGTGGAAACAATCAATAAATAATTATAATAATTTAATAAGTTTTCTCCTAAAGGGATGCAAGAGGTGCACATAGGAACCATTGCAGCCTCGGAGGCTTTCAGGGAGGGTTTCTCAGAGAAGTAAAACTTGAATTGAGTCTTGAAAGGTCTGTAAGAAGGAATTGAGCAACTAAAGTATTACAGTCAGGGGAACAACATATGGACATGGGAAGAGAAGGCACATATGTAAGTTTGGCAGGCAGGGCTTTTCGTGGGATGTGGTGGATGCTAAAACGTGAGGAGTAAATTCCAGTTCTACTTCCAACGTGTAATGATGCACATGAGTGCAAGAACTAGTCATTTCATCTCTCCTGTTCTCAACTGTCTTCTCTCTAAAGTGAGAAGTTACACTAAGACAGTTTTCAGCTCTAAGTGTAATATACTGTTAAACACAATGATAACTATTTGGTTATTAACGTTAGGTTGGTTATTTCTTAGGTAAAGGGACATCTCAGGGTGTTAGATCCTGGTAAATATGATTAGAAACTATAGTTTTTCTAGGATTCCTAGTCCAATGTGAGAGAGATTTGATGTTCTATGCGAAGTAGAGGAACACCCTCAAGTTTTGCAAATAAATAGACTTTTCGGCATATTTGAGTAGTTTTCATTGCTTACTCCTCTGCCACTTGGCACACAGTAATGGTAAACTACCCTGTTCAGGGGAGGGCATATGGTCTCTTCCTTTTTCTTTTCTTTTTTCTTCCTAATACTTCAGGCCTAAATTTAAAATTTTTCTCCTTTAAACTTTCCTGCACACTGCTGATGAATTAATCTTCTGAAAGCATTTATAGTCAAGTTACTGCTCCCTTACTTATGGATTCCCCGTTGCTGTCAAGATAAAAATTCTAAACTGAGTTTTCTTCCTTCTGGCTTGAGTTTACCAATCCTGACTCATGTCTCAACACTGAAACTTCTCATTCAGCCAAATGCGCCTCTTCCCATCTTAAGTACTTTCTAGACACATGCTTTTTTCCCTAAATAGACACTTTTAATTACACTGTTTCTCACCCTCTTAGAGTGTGTTCTCCACCCCCAAACTCAGCCTCTTTTCCTGTCTGAACCGGTTGTCACTGGGCAGACCTCAGCTTAAATCCCCCTTCTTAAATCAAGTTCTCGGTGACTGGCCATAGCGCAGAGAGTTTAGCCATTCCCTGAACCTCCTAGTCTTGCTGTCTTTGTGGTTCCTTAGGTAAGTATTCATGGTCCTACCATACTGACACCTTTATTCTCTCAGATAATTGTGTCATTTTAAAATTACTTTTAACTTTGCACATTTTCTTTTTATTATCCCCACCCATTCAAAGAAGAACCTTGAAGAAAGCAGAAAAGAAAAAGCTTATGTAGAACATATTCTGTATTGTACTATCCCCGGTGTTTTACATAATTTTACTTCATTTAACCTTTAAATGACTATGAGGAATCCTTGACTTACAGATAAAGAGACAAGTTCACTTGCATTAAGAGTTTGCCTAGGTGCCTGGGTGGCGCTGTCAGTTAAGCCTTCATGATCCCAGGGTCCTGGGATCGAGCCCCGCATCAGGCTCCCTGCTCAGCTGGGAACCTGCTTCACCCTCTGCCTGCCACTCTACCTGCTTGTGCTCTCTTTCTCTCTCTATCAAATAAAATTAAAAATAAAAAAAAGCTTGCCTAGTGTTCTATCACCTTTATATATATTATATCACAGATATGTCACCTGATTGACAAGCATGTGCTCTTTCTACTCCCTAAACCGCCTCAGGGGTTTTGATTCCTTTACAGCTAAGTGCAATATATGTTACGAGCTCAGGAAACACTTAACCTGTATTGGCTTCATGGTTCCTTTCCATTTTCTTCACTATTCACGTACTCACTTTTGCCAGAATGTAAGCAGAGAAGATGAAATCTGTTATTAAATTATGCTTGCTATCCATTTTGTAAAAGGTTTCATAAGGGAAAAAATTGAAACTTTTGGCATAAATGTGGGGATTTGAATCATCTCTAGATGGTTATCCATGTGCAGTTCCCACTTTCTATTCTTAACGGATTTCCACCACCCCCAAAAGCCCTTCTTCAGAGTTTCACTTTAGTTTTTTAAAAATGCCATCCAAAGCAACAGAAAATATAGGCCATGAATTGTCTTCAGCTAAAAATGTTTCCTCTTTTGTGACTTCGCTTAAAATTAAAAAAAAACAAAAAACAAAGCCCACACAGTTCCTCTTTTCAATTCACTAAGAAAGGCACTAGAGAAGGAAAGACCCTGAACAGGAACATAATTATAAACCATTTTAGTTTGTAAGATCAGTTTTGATAGGTTCATAGCCTCTTTTGACAATAGGAAGATCATAAAACCTTCAGTATATGAGATTTTTCTACTTGTCATGTAAGGGTTACAACAATATCAAAACCAAATTGCATGTTTTACCTGTTGTGTCTCTTCTTCCCACTCCTCAGTTAGCTGTCTGCCCTCCTAGGGTCTGCTACATCAGAATGCTAGAATCTTTGTTAGCTCTCTACTACAGCAAACCAGAACAGTCCAGAAAAGAAAGAGCAGGATTTAACACAGGAATAAATAGGGGGCATAATAGTGAAGAAACTGACTTTTTCTAACTCAGAGAAGTAAGGCCAGTGTTATTAGCAGTGTAGAAAGTTGTATAACGTATGTATTCTCTTAAATACATAAACCATGTGTACCTGAAGTACCAACATTGCTTCTTCAGGGAGAGAAGGTAAAAACAAAGAACGATATGGGGGGAATGTAAAAAGGAGAAAATGTCAGATCAGATAAAATGAAAAGGAAGTGCAAAGAAATAAAAAATAACACCAAAGAGGAAAATAGAGCAGAAATTACAGGAGACAGCAAATATATGGAAAAGGGATGGGGAAGGTCAGTGGGCTAGAGAAGGTATTGAAAAATTGGTAAAAAGCTGAAGAAAAAGTGGTAGTTATGTAATTAGCAAGAAATTAGGGTAGATGATTAAACTGGAGGAGAAGACTGAAGTAGATGGAAGAAAGGCCTAAGTGCTGCTCTCTGTCACGGGTTTGGGCTTGTGGACCCTGGGAAGCAGCAGGGAGGAGCCGTCTTCCCACGATGGAGGACTTGACTCATCCGTCTTCTCAAACTCACCAGGCTTTCGTTTCAGGTTCTCCTATCTGTTCTAAGTATTCTTAAGATTCTCTTTTTTTAATTTTTTCCTCGTACTATTCAGAACATAACTGCTAATTATTCTAAAGAACCCATGCGTTCTACATGGCATTTTTCTAGAAATCCCTTAGTCTGCTGCCAAGGCAAATCCCACATTTGTCTACCTTCATATGGCAGTATCTTGCTTATTATTATAGGTTGTCACTTTGAGGTCTAAATCTGTGATTTTGGTCCTTTGGCTTTTCCTGAATATTTAAAAAGGTGTGGTTTTTTTGTTTTTGTTTTTGTTTTTTTAAGATTTTATTTATTTATTTGACAGAGAGATAGCGAAAGAGGGAACACAAGCAGGGGGAGTGGGAGAGGGAGAAGCAGGCCTCCCCCTGAGCAGGGAGCCCGATGCGGGGCTCGATCGCAAGACCCTGGGACCATGACCTGAGCCGAAGGCAGATGCTTAACGACCGAGCCACCCAGGCGCCCCTAAAAAGGTTTTAAAAGAGGAAGGAAAACATCAGCTGTGTTTTAACTAAGCATCTTACAGTCAGTTACAGTGAAGGTAGGAGTCCTCATGTATTAGACATGTTCTCATAAATATGCATAAGTACATAAAGAGTACAGTTAAAATTGATTCTGTTAAGTTGGATATAAGAAATGTCATTTAAAGAGAATCAAGGAGATTTGGAGAGCATATCCTAAATAAAAAGGCAAGTATAGGTAACAATATAAAAAATAATACATGAGTGATTAGGACTTTGATATTATTACTACTTTTATTTAATAAGTTACAATATAGGTAGAATAGATTAAAATTTAGTTATATTGTATCTCCAACTGGTTAAATTATTAAGTCATAAAAAGAGGAAAACAGCAATTCTGTATCTTGAGTAGGAATAGAAAGGGAGATTAACCTTGAACTCTAATAGGAAGTATTTGGAGACTTAATAATAATAGCTACCATTTACTGAGTACCCGCTAAATGTTAGGTACTATCCTATTTTAACAAACAGGGTAGTGTTACCTTCATCTTACAGATAAAGAGACGGAGACACAGAGATGTAGGGTAACTTGCCAGTGTCAGAGTTGTTAAGTAGAGGCAGTGATAAAGAAATCATGTCAGTCGTATCCCAGAGTCCTTTCCTTCTGTTATGTGTCACTAAACATGCTGCACTGACTTCCGTAGTAAAAGTATGAAGCAGGAATGCCTAAGGGAGGAGATGTGAGCTCTCTGGAAACAGATACATAAATAACTTCTGGAGGCAGTCTTGAGTAAGGAGTAGGAAAAAAAAAAAAACTACCAGAAAACCAGGTTATGCCTCTGATTCTATGAAAATAGTTATGAGAGTTTTAAATGGTTAACCTATAAGCTATATTTGAGCTAATACATACATATATTTGTGATGACTTTTAAAGATCGGACATTGAAAGGCATCAGATTTATATTTAACAAATTTGAACTTATTCAGAAGTCATAATTTCCTTCTAAGTAGAGTTATATAGGAATTAGTTGAAAAACAAAGGTACTGTTACCCTCTAAATTTTGAACTGACCCTTTAAAAATATATAGAGACAAGTCTTATCTAAAAAAGAGATAAAAATCTTTATATTCTAACTTATGTAATAGTTACTTAGAAAAAAATCCAAAGTGGACTTCTATAAGGGAAAGTCATAAATATTTATGAAATGTTGAAATAGAATATCACCCACTCTGAGTTTATATTCTGTGATATTACAAGTCTATGTAAACTAAACCCTTTGCAGTTTTTATTTGGAGGATATTTACTTTGTAGCTGCCCAGTTTACTCACAGAGTGGGCATGTTGTATGCATATTACCTATTTTCTATTATTTATCTTGTGAGTGTTTTTTTCCCATATCTATTTTATACTGTTTACCAACAGCTCAGATAGTAATGTATTGCATAAATATGTAGATGATATGAATATATGTACACACATTTTATCATAACAGTTTTGTCTTAGTAAACTTTAAAAATGAGCCATAATATTTTCCTATAACCATTATGACTTAAATACAAAATTCTATTTGTGTAAAAAACAAAGCATATGTAATAATGATAATTGAGTACCTCATCTAATCTCCTTTGGTTTCTTTTTTAAATTAAGTGAAGGTGACCATTTTTACCGTAGAAACTAAAGGGGATTAAAAATAATTTAAATCTATGGATTATATATAGGAAAATTTTTATAGAAAGCAAGTTAGAATTTTTAACAGCTGGTATTTGGGGATTGTAAATTCAGTCATATCCCATGGATTCTAGTTTTACTTGTATCCTTTAGCTTTATCCACCAGGGTTATAGTTTATTTCTTTTAATTACAGAACTAAGGCTAACTAACCATTGTGATTGAATAAACTTAAAAGGGCAATATTATACAAACCTAGCTGCAAATTTTTCTTCGAGGCAAGTTCAACATTGAATATTTTTTAATTCCATGCAACCAAATTACAAAACCTGTTATAGATATCTTTAGACTAGCAGAGTTTAAATTTAAAACACTAACAACATTTTAGTTTTAAAAATAAATTTTATATAAAATTAAGATCAAAGCAGATTGCCTGTGTGAAAATTTTCTTACCTCAGCTGTTAACTTCTTTTTGCAGAATGCTAAGTTCTTGTTCTATCTGGACATTTTGGTGATTTGGCTAAGAAAGCAAAAGGGGTGGTTCAGTTCAGATTAAAAATGGTCCTGTAGCAAACTGAAATGCTTTCTGTAGAAAAAAAGGAAGTTTATCGATAGTTGGTTCCGGAAGCGCAATAAGCCACAAAATGACTAAGAAATGCACTACTTATTTTGAAACACAGTTTCCGGCTTTATGATTTGAATATTTTTAATTAATGTTGGTAAGTGAACATTTGAGACTCTCTAGTAATGTGATTATATAATTTAAATACTTAGAATAGAACTTTAGAGGGGAACTTAAATATTCTAAGGAAAAACTGCCAGTTGGGTTATTACCCAAAGTGAGATTTCTTTGCGTAAGAAGCGAATGATATGTTCTGTTTACTCGATCACCTTAGGCAAGTTGCTGTACTTCTGAGTCATCATTTCCTCCTCTGGAGGAATATTTCTCTTAGTGAGTTATTTTGAAGATTAAATAAGATAACATGTATAAATGCCTCACACACAGTAGGAAACCAGTAAATGTTAACATTATTTCCTTGTACATAATTTAGACAAAACCCAGGTAAAAGTATAATTCAGTTTTTTGGACCGAGTACTTTACTAAATGACTTTGGAGTTTCAGTGCACAACTCTTTGATTACCCACAAAGTAGGTAACTTCTCAGTGGAAGGTAAAATAAATTGGGAATCATGATTTAAATAAGTTAAGCAAAGTGGGCGCCTGGGTGGCTCAGTTGGTTAAGCGACTGCCTTCGGCTCGGGTCATGGTCCTGGAGTCCCAGGATCGAGTCCCACATCGGGCTCCCTGCTCAGCAAGGAGTCTGCTTCTCCCTCTGACCCTCTTCCCTCTCGTGCTCTCTCTCTCTCTCAAATAAATAAATAAAATCTTTAAAAATAAATAAATAAGTTAAGCAAAGTATATTGAAAAGAGAATGAGTCAGTCTGAATAAAAATTTCTTTGGGCAAGTCACCTTTTCTAGCCTCTTTCCTCATCTGAGAAATGGAGGTCATAATTCCTAATTTTTTTTTTCTTTTCAAAGATTTTATTTATTTATTTGAGAGAGAGAGAGAGAGACAGAGAGAGCATGAGAGGGGGGAGGGTCAGAGGGAGAAGCAGACTCCCCGCCGAGCAGGAAGCCTCCCGATGCGGGACTCGATCCCGGGACTCCAGGACCACTACCCGAGCCGAAGGCAGACGCTTAACCATCTGAGCCACCCAGGCGCCCTCCTAATTTATAAATTTGTTATGGGATTAAATAAATGTAAAGTACCTAGCAAGCATAGCACCTGTTAGAGTAGATACGGTAAGTATTAAGCCATGCCCTGCTTTTCCCTGATCACTACAGAGGATCATGGACTGTTGAGACCTAGTTCTTAACATCAGGGTACTTATAACTTGGCACAAAAGGAATAGTTTTTGTTTTTAAGGGGTCCTACTATAAAGCAGAAAATAATCAAAACACTGTGAACTTTTGATTCACTTATTTTAAAATCCCTGAATTGAGTATGTGGACCATAACACCTGGGGTAGAAAGCAAAAGTGTTCTTTTTTCAGAAATAACTTTTAAATTTTGAACTCAAAATGTATCTTAATCTATCGTGTTTAAACACTGTCAAGTCTGAAAAGGAACCACTTCTGTTTGTTCATGAACTGTCATTGGATAGCATCATTCTGAGGGTGTTGGTGAGTGATGAATTTTAAATATTCCTGCAATAGGAGCTTTATCTTTTTTTGTCAGAAAATGGTTGACCTGTATGTTGAATATGAAAGTACTTACCTAGTTAATGTCTTATTTTTTTTAAAGGACACTGATTTGTTTAAATTTCCTCGGACAAGTATATATGACACTTGACTCAATGAGTGATTTGTGTAGCACTATTTGTTCTAGTACACAATCTCAAATTTTTAATTTATACAAGATGGGAGCTCTGCCCAGTTTCATTGCCAGTCTGGTCCTTTTTACCCTTCAAAAGATAACCTGATGTCACCATGATTGGCATGAGTGTTCTCTTCCCTTTTTACTTTTTTGATATTTAGCTTTATCTGGAATAATATGGTTATAATTTATTTATTTTTTTAACAAATTGGTAATAAATTGATCATAAAATTGATGCTTTGGTTTTTCCCTCCCATTTTAAGATACAAATTAGATCTCTGAAGCCTTGGTGCCCATAAGAAGTGATTTTGATGACCAAGACCAATATCACCTAGGGAATTAATGCAGAAATTACCAGGGCTTGGAGGTTACCCCATTCCAGCTGAATCAGAAAGAGAGAGTGGGAATTAGGTATTAGCTAGCTTTAAAAACTCTTCAGATGATTCTGATGCACAATCAGGATGAGAATCACAAACCTAGAAGGGAGGGTAAGATTGTGATCATATTTGGAAAAAAATATATAAAATTTTTTCTTAAATGGCTAGCATATTGCCCAAAATAAATGCTCAATAAGGGATGAGAATTTTTAAATGTAGCTTGGTCTTTAATTAGTATGCCCTGGATCAATTTTAGTAGATAGTTGGAAAGTCTCTCAGACCAACTTCTGTAATATATTTAACTGAAGGTGGAAGTCTTGATTTAAGTGTAAGTCATTATTTTACTCGAACCCAATTTCTTGAAAGGTTAAACAATGACCTGGAGTATCCTGTTTTCCAAATGAGAGCAAACATACACACATCTTTCCTTTGCTCATGTCACATTAGATAGTAAAAAAAAGTAAAACTGATCATTTATTAGGCCACTTGGCACCCTTGAAGTCAGAAAATTAGTCACCCTTTGGATATTTGCTATAAATATTCCAATAAGCAGTATTTATAGATTAGAGGTACATTGCATTTAAACAGTAAGATGTGCTTTACATTTACACTTGGCCTTCTGTTGTGGTTACAATCTCATCTGTTTCAGTTAAGCTCTATTTCTTATTGATCTTTACAGTGTGTTGCCTAAGATAATAAACGGAATACAATTATATGTAGTCAGTTTTATTCTGAGTCTTAATTCATTATACAAAATTAAAAGTTTTAATTAAATATTTATAGTAGAAAAACACTTTCTTCTGTGTGCCATATGTAAAGATGAAAACATGTGGCATAAAATTAGCTTTATTGGTATATGAGCTGGTCCAGATTCTGTCACGTTCGGCAAAGGTACCGTTAAACTACAGTTCAACTCTGCGCACTAGGAATTTGGCTTCTGTTAGATGCTGAAGCATATACTTGCCTCTAAGGACACACTAAAACTCTTCAAAGTTCAATTACATTCAGATGAAGATCATCTAACTACTGTTGCTGAACAGGAAATATTTATTTAATTGTCCCTTTCTGCCTCCCATTCCTTCAACTCGTCTTTAAAACCTTCCCCACATTCTCAGGTGTTTGGTTATTTACTTTTTAAAATACTCAGTGTAAGGACAAAAGTGCACAGTTTAAGTAATTGAGAAGGTGGGCAAACTTCTCCCCTTCTCACTTGCTGGATTCTAAATTGCAGGGCTGCTATGTCAACAAATTTTAGACCACCGAACCAACATGTTGGCATTAAATATCAAACTGATTTCATTTTTGTACTTCATAAACTTTCTCATTGCTCCTTTGCATTTTTCTTGACTAAAGTGCCTGTTAGTTAGTGAGTTTTTCAGTTCCTCCTTCATCTTTTCTTTCCCTTGTAGCTATGAGTGTTCCAGTAGATTGCATCATTAGGTTGGGCCCTGTGAGCTGTTGTGCTCTTTTCCAAGTGTCTGATTCAGCAGGCCAGAGACCACTGCTTGCCAGAAAATCACCGTTGCTTCTAGGCTGACGCTTGCCTACTTGTTTTGATCGTCTGAGAGATGAGACTTTGTTTGCCAGAACTACAGTTGATAGAAATAGAAGGGTACAGATAAGAAAAAGCACTGCAATTATAACGAAGCAAATTAGCATAGCCATTTTGTTGTTGTTTTCCTCACAGACCTCTTTTTTGAAAATTTCACGGTGACTTTTGGTTGTGTTTTCTGTGCTCTGTACCGTTGGAGAACTGTTCCTGACGACAGAAGGTATATAAAGCTCCAGTTCCGATATAGGAGTTAGAGATGTGACCTGAGATGATGTTGCTATTTCAGTCCTGTTTATAGAGTTACCTCTTTTATCTACTGTAGAAGTTGTAGGGTTTGTGTTAATGTTTTCATTTTGGTTTCTGCCTGGCTTATTTTGAATATCTGGATCCCAGACAGTAGTACTGTTAGCCCACAGATGGGTATAGTTTGCGTTTATTCCAGGAGACCAAGAAAAAACTGTTGTCGTCAGAAGGGCAAGATGCAGGTAAAGTCCTGTGTGCTCCATGTCCATGAATATGCTGGAAATCTGTTGGGAGAGCAGTATAATTTATTAATTTGGGAAAGAATAATGGTTCCTGGTTGTTGTGATTGTAGTTAAAAGATGGACAGCTGATATCTTACAAAGTGAGCTACAAACTCATGCCTAATATTTGCTATCCTGTTTGAATTCCTTCTAACTGACTTTTTTTCTGTCAGACTGTGTATAAAGAAACAATTTAATTTCTGTTATTCTTTCAAATGCTAGAGGTTAGCATTATAAATAACTGTGAATCATTTTAAACTGAATCCCGTGGTTTTGTATAGTTTTCTCCCTCCCAAGCATACTAAACTTCAGCTTTGAGTCACATACTTCTGCTTTGTTTTTTTGATTCCTTTTTTTTTCTTCTGCTCCCAACCATTTAAGGATCTTTCTTGCAGAAACTCCCCACCTTCTAACAAATGTGTCACCAATCTTTATAGTAAAGGAGAAATGTGGCCTTGAGCATTTTGCTTCATGTGTGAAAAGAAAACGCAAATGGCTTTTTTGGTTTTTGTTTTGGGGTCGAGAAAGGGGAAGTGTAGCAACCAAAGGAAAATGGATTTCAAATAGGAATTCAGGATGTTCTTTTTTCTTCTTGGGTGTTTATCTTGAAGCTTAGAATAAAGCTGGTACTTAGAAATATGCTCCTGGTATTTGTGAAAGCAATCATATGGTGGTGGTTCTCTCTTTTCACCGGTATATCCCCTGACTTATTGTGGCTTTCTAAAAGCAAAGGCATGCCAGATTTCTTCTGAATAATCTCAAAAGTTAAACCAAAGTTACTGACTTTTTTCATCATCATTTATGCTTAGCATGTTTTTGTATCCCTGTTTTGACATAACTTTTTTAAGTAAATTATACAGTAAAATAGAGAACATCAGGTTTGGGGGGGATTTAGACTATGGGAAGTGGGAAATCAAGGCAGATCATAAGTCTCAACATATAAATAAAAAAGATGAATTTTAGTTTTGTCTTCAAGCTCCTTGGAAGCCAGTACAAAAAGGGAACAAGTCTGTTCCTAATTCTCATTATCCACCCTATGATTGAAGATTTAAATAGAACTCTTTTGTAGTAATAATCTGTTCATCTGAGCTACTTTTGTAAGAATATTTTATTGTTAGCATTAAACAGAAGCAAAACTAGATTATTCGTCTGAGACTTACTCAGTGAAATTACCTATTTAAGAACCTTATTTTAGAGAAGTTCTTCTCAAACTTGAATGTGCATGGGAGTCTTTTTCTTGTTGTTGTTTTGTTTTTCTTTTTTTTTTTAATTGGATTCTGATTCTGTAGGTCTAGGAAGGACCTGAGATCCTGTATTTCTAACCACCACCCAAGTAAGACAGATGCTGCTGCTAGTCATGCTTTTTTTGAGTTTCGAGGTTTTATTAGAAATAGTTGCTATATGTCATTGGATAAAATTTGTATGCTATTGATATACAGAAATTGAAAATAACAAATGTTATATATTGTTATACAAACAAAAGTAGCTTGTAATAAACAATGCTAAATGGAAACTAGCCACTGAAGTAGTATTTCCTAAAGGAAAAAACCTTTATTATGTGTTCTAGAATTAAGATGACTTTTTGGATTATGCTCTTTAATAGTTAAAGATATTGCACACTGACTTCTCTATAATAGTGTTTAGCTTCAGTTTTTAAGTTGAATAACAAAAATCTTTGTATACTTTATGATTCTTTCACAAAGAGAAATACTTTAAATTGGATTAGCAAGTAATTTCCATCCTTTCATACTAGACTAGATTTCTGCATTCAGTGCTAAAATTATTTAAAGTGGGTTATTCTTATCACATTAGTTCATCAACAATGTAGTATACATCTTGGTATTCATACACATTTTAGCAGTGCTTACCATGCACGGGGTAGATAATAGGCCCGCTGTTGATTGTCTTCAGCCAGATGTACTGTCATCCCCAAATAAACAAACTGTTAACAGAATGAGACTTTCTCTTGCCCTTACAAATGCCTGAGAATAGAGGACTGTCTCTGCATTCCTAATTTATGCCATGGAGGCCAGGTTATGCTATCAAAAGTTTTCTTTATCTCTGGTCATTTTCAATACAATTTATAATGCCTAAGCATTAGTAATGAGAACTTTATTTTTTCAACTTTTTAAATAACAAAACTTTTCAATTCACTGTGGAGTCTAAACTCAGATCCTTCCTAATTGTGATAAAAACTATTGTTGATAAATCTTTCCATTTCTAACTTAAATATTACTTAATAGGACAGAAAAAAACAGCATACATTTTCAATCACTTATGATTCTACTTTGTTAGTAAGATTCTTAGGTACTCTTTGAAAGCACTTCCTTGAGCACTAGTCCATACAGTTACGAGTGAAAAGGCATAACAAAAGCCGAATATATATGACCTACCTTACAAATTCTTGGTCAAAATCTGATTATAACCTGATTTTAATAAGCCACTTCTTTTCTTGTCTTGAAGCACAGCTTCCAAGTAATTTAAAGCAGAATAGACTTGGAGAATATGAACCTTAAAGTAAATCTGCAGTTAAAAAAAAAAAAAAGGATATGTACAGCTAGCTTTCCACTTTTAAAACCAAACCACAGATGACACATTTCCTTTCTGCTGCAACTAAAGCACATGTCCCGGGGGGGGGAGGGGTGGGGGGGGGGGGGGGGAAAAAAAGAAAAAAAAACCCAGAAAGTCCAACTTGTCCAGTTGGCCACTGGCATGACAGGAGGCTTTGTACAACAAATCCCCGCCTCCAGGGCAGGGAGGGTTTTCCGCTCAGGGCCTTTTGACCTTATGCTCACTATATATGCCTGCAATGTGCTTTTGAATGATAGTATCATTCAAAAGAAGATGGAATGGTATTTTTCCTGCAGCATTAAAATCTCTAAAAATTTTATTTGTGTACCACAGACTGATTTGATGACATGAGTTTGGAGACCTAGGGTATTGGTAAGATAATAGAAATAGTGAAATACATAACCAACATCTCAAATTGTGGAACTACAACAATGACTTGAGAAAATATCTAGTAAACTTAGATTATATGGGGCAGAATAAGTTTTTATGTGGTTTAGTGTATACACATACAGACAAACATACACACTCTTTCCCCTTAAATGTCCTGTCATCACTTCATATTCAGTATGTCTAAAATGGACTTCATTTTCTCTCCAAAAGTCCCTGCCCCTCATGATCTCTTTGTTTTTGTTCATGATAGCAGCCTTCTTTGTGGTCTCAGAGGCTTGGTATATGGTGAGTCCTTTTAATTCAAGTCCTTCTTTCAGCCCTGATCAGACCTTGGATCATGTTGGTCCTTCCTTCATGTTCTTGAATTGGTTTCTTTTTTTACTGTCACCATAGTATTTAGATCCTTATTAGGCCATACCTAGACTACAGTATTTTTTTATTAGCCCCAACTCCTTCATAGAGTTTCTATATATCACTTCCTTTGATCATATCACCTCTTTCTTTACAAAAATAAAGTTGAATAACTCCCTGACACTACAGCACTGATTCAGAAATATTTGTGCATATAAATATCAGATAGAAGGTTGTTTAAAAACAGTGAAAATTGCCGGGCCCCACTGCATAGATTCATATGTAGTAGAAACGGACTGCATTTGTATCAAGTACCACAGTTGATTCTGATGCTGGTGCTTCACAGAATATATTCTGAGAGGGGCGCCTGGGTGGCTCATTTAAGTGATTGCCTTCGGCTCAGGTCATGATCCCGGGGTCCTGGGATGGAGCCCCACTTCAGGCTCCCTGCTCAGCAGGAAGCCTGCTTCTCCCTCTCCCACTCCCCCTGCTTGTGTTCCCTCTCTTGCTGTCTCTCTCTGTCAAATAAATAAATAAAATCTTAAAATATATATGTGTGTATATATATATATATATATTCTGAGAAATCCTGGGCCTCTGGGAGAAAACCTGAATCTCTTAGTTTTGATCCTTTCACAATTTAACTGTTATGTATTTTTCCAGCTTTATCTCTTTTTTTTAAAGTTAAACTTTCAATTTTATTTTATTTTAGTTTTTAGTTTTTATTTAAATTCCAGTTAGTTAACACAGTGTCATATTAGTTTCAGGCGTACAGTTTAGTGATTCAACACTTAACAACACTCAGTGCTCATCACAAGTGCCCGTCTTAATCCCCCTCACGTATTTAACCCTCCTCCCACCCAGCTACCTTCTGCTAACCATCAGTTTGTTCTCTGTAGTTAAGAGTCTGTTTTCCGGTTTGCCTCTCTTTTTTTACCCCTATGATCATTTGTTTTATTTCTTAAATTCCATGTGTGAGTGAAATCGTACAGTATTTGTCTTTCTCTGACTTATTTCACTCAGCATAATACTCTCTAGCTCCATCCATGTCATTGCAAATGGCAAGATTTCATTCTTCTTTATGGCTGAGTAATATTCCATTGTATATATACCACTTTATCCATTCATCAATTGATGGACACTTGGGCTCTTTCCATAATTTGGCTATTATAGATAATGCTGCTGTAAACATAAGAGTGCATGTATTCCTTCAAATCAGTATTTTTGTAACCTTTGGGTAAATACTTAGTAGTGCAGTTGTCCAGCTTTATCTCTTAAGACTTCTCTACATGATCCTTCATTCCAGCTAAACTAGCTGACGTGCCTCAGCACATCTCATCTAGTTATGTTTCTTTTTTTCTTTACCTCTCTCTTTTAAATCTGCTAATCCCTGCTCTTGTTGAATTCAGAATTTCTCCCACCCACTTCAGCCACAACATCTATGTAGTTTTCAAGGACTACCTAGTTTGTGTTCATCTCTCCATTCTTCTGAACTATTTTTCTCTGCAATTCATTTGATAAGTGATTACATACTATCTCATACCTTTTCTTTGATCTTGAAATATTTTATTTTAAAATCATTTAACTTGATTTTTATCTATTCTCCCAACAAGATTAAAAATTCTGAGGTAGAGATATTTATCTGAGCCTATTTTGTAGTCCTTACCAGAGTCATCAAGTGTAGAACACTGGGCCAAATTAATATAAGTTGTTTTGATTTGAAGTTCTAGTACTGTGTTCTTCAGGTCTTTCTGATGGTCCTTACTTTGGCTACTCACACTGATCAGCATTCTTTTGAGTGTAAGCAACTTATGACCTAGTATGGCTTAATCAAAAAAATGGAATTCATTGGCTCATCAACTCAATAGTCCAGGGATAGATTTGATCCCAGGAGAGGCGTTATCTAGAGTTCAGATGAAATGGCTGGGGCCCCAGTTTCTCTCTTCATTTCTCTGCTCCATTTCTTCAGTTTTTAGGCAGGCTTTCCCTTCATATCTCAAGGTATGAGCTAACAACTCCCAGGGCGATGTGTTCCTTTGTTTATCAATACCGGGAAAGAAAAAGTCTCAATTCCCAACTACAGCTAACGTTTCTGAAATTGGGCCTTTTTGGCTCTGGTTGTCCTGATTTGAGTTATACGGTCATTGCTGAACCTCTCTGGTCAAGGTGGGGTAAACAAATTGACTAAAGCCATTCAGATCACCCCAGGGCTCCAGGTGGGTCATTCCCACCCAAACTGTTCACCTGGGAAATTCGGTGGGCCTAGAGGCAACCAATCAATGTTCACTGCCTTCCTCTGCTTATCTGGGGTGTGCAAGTTTGTTGTTGCTCAAGAGTGTTTGAATTGGAGACTTGTCTCTTTGATTTTACTTCAGCCTTGTTTCTCAATATCTAAAGGATAACTGATTTTTAAAAATGGATTTATATTTTACGTAATTTTTTGTTATTACAGTTTTCTCTTGAAAGCTCATCAGAAAATTAAAGGAATAAAATAGATTAGTAGCCTCTGTATATTTATTCAGAACTCTGTTAACAATCTGTGTCCTTTTTTTGTCATCTTCCTTAGGTTTAAAACTGGTCAAATCAATGGTGATTTGCTGATATACCACGTCTTGCTGACTTTAAAGCCATATTATGCAAAGCCATATGAAATTGTAGTGGATCTTACCCATACTGGGCCTAGCAATCGCTTTAAAACGGACTTTCTCTCCAAGTGGTTTGTTGTTTTTCCTGGCTTTGCTTATGACAATGTCTCTGCAGTCTATATCTACAACTGTAACTCCTGGGTCAGGGAATATACCAAGTATCATGAGCGGCTGCTGACTGGCCTCAAAGGCAGCAAAAGGCTCATCTTCATAGACTGTCCTGGGAAACTGGCTGAGCACATAGAGCATGAACAGCAGAAACTGCCTGCTGCCACGCTGGCTTTAGAAGAGGACTTGAAGGTATTCCACAATGCTCTCAAGCTAGCTCACAAAGACACCAAGGTTTCTATTAAGGTAAGTTTCACTCCACATGAGGTAAATGATTTGTCACCCTTCTTGGCTAACCAGACTGCACTGGCCTCCCTAGGTGTTCCCGTAGCAGTGGATCAAATGTAAAGTAGGTCCAGATGGAGGAAAACTAAACTTTCTATCTTCTTGGAGGTCCTGTGGAAGATAGGAGAGGCATACACTAAATTATATTCTAGGTTGGATTGGAGGCAGGGGAGTGTTGTAGAGAGGGTGGTTTGCCATCTATCAGTCAAATGGTAGGAATGTGTAGAGGGTGGAAGTGATCAATTGAGAATTCTTCTGATTATTACATGCTTTTTGTGGAATGGGAGACATGAACCAGGATAAAACCAGTGATTGTTTATGGGATTCTTGAACTTTTAAAAAAAAAAATGTTTTCAGTCTCTTTTGAGAGCATTTATCACAATAACTCTTGAACCCATTTGAACACTGGCAGTAACTCTTCCTTAAATGGTTAAATGGCAAACATGATATTTGTTTGGTCAGTCAGTTGGTTGGTTTTCAGAGCCTCTCTTAGAGTTCTATATAATGGAATTTAACTCTTCTTCACTCTGCCCTCTCACCATCACTTTCCAGGTTGGTTCTACTGCTGTCCAGGTAACCTCAGCAGAGCGAACAAAAGTCTTGGGGCAATCAGTCTTTCTAAATGATATCTATTATGCTTCGGAAATTGAAGAGATCTGCCTGGTGGATGAGAACCAGTTCACCTTGACCATTGCAAACCAGGGCACACCACTCACCTTCATGCACCAGGAGTGTGAAGCCATTGTCCAGTCTATCATTCATATTCGGACACGCTGGGAGCTGTCGCAGCCTGACTCCATCCCCCAGCACACCAAGATTCGGCCAAAAGATGTCCCTGGGACGCTGCTCAATATTGCATTACTTAATTTAGGCAGTTCAGACCCTAGTTTACGGTAGGTTTTTTAAAAATTCACTGCAACTTTTTTCAGGGTTTGTTGCTTTTAGTGAGACCACTTAATAAGCTTTTAATACAGCCTCTACCTTAATACTCTAAATCGGAAGGTATGCTATCTTGGTTAACCAGTGTGACCTCATCAGTTTGTGGGGTATTCACATGAACTGTGGAATTCTGAGAAGGGTGATTCACACTAAACAAATACATGTTCTTTCTTCAGGAAACTTTCATCTGAAACAGACTATACAGCAGTTTTGGTTTTGTTACCCACCCCCAACCACCCAAAAAAAGCCTTTTTTTTTTTTAAGGTCTATTCCTAAATTTCTCCTTCTGAGTTCTCTAATTATGTTTTCTCATGTTCAGAAG